GAAGGGTTTGGGATTGTGGGAAAGGGTTTGGGATCTCTGGGATGGGTTTGGGATCTCTGGGATGGGTTTGGGATTTTCTGGGATGGGTTTGGGATTCTCTGGGATGGGTTTGGGATTCTCTGGGATGGGTTTTAGATTCTCTGGAAGGGTTTGGGATTTTCTGGGATGGGTTTGGGATTCTCTGGGATGGGTTTGGGATCTCTGGAAGGGTTTGGGATTTTCTGGGATGGGTTTGGGATCTCTGGATGGGTTTGGGATTCTCTGGGATGGGTTTGGGATTCTCTGGATGGGTTTGGGATTCTCTGGGATGGGTTTGGGATTTTCTGGGAGCTGGGCTGGGCCGGGCCTCGGAAGCTTCTGGAAGGGGCTCAGCCCATCCCCCTCCCCAGGACCACGATTTCCTGGCGGGCGAGCGGCTCTTCCTGGAGAGCCTGAAAAAGGGACCCTGAGAGAACCCTGGATTTGGAAAAAAATAAAATTAAAATTAAAATTAAAACATTCCCTGCTGAGAGCCTGCAAAGAAAAAAAAATGCATTTTAATAATAATAAAAATAAAAATAAAAATTAAAAAATAAATTCTCTGCTGAGAACCTACCCCCGTTTAAAAATGGAAAAATGTATTTTTGTACAAATAAAAAGTTTTTAAAAAAGAAAAGTCCTGGGGATTACTGGGAGCACTCAGGGGTCACTGGGGGGTCCCAGGGGTCACTGGGGGGTCCCAGGGGTTACCGGGGGGGTCCCAGGGGTCACTGGGAGCACTCAGGGGTCACTGGGGGGTCCCAGGGGTCACTGGGAGGGTCCCAGGGGTCACTGGGGGGGTCCCAGGGGTCACTGGGGGGTCCCGGGTGTTACTGGGGGGTCACTGGGGGATCCCAGGGGTCACTGGGGGGTCACTGGGGGGGTCCCTCTGTCCACCCGGGGGTTCCCGAGCTGGATTTCGGGTGGGGGAGGGGGGACACCCAATGGGGAGCGTTGTTGGCCCCGCCCCCTCGCGAGGCCCCGCCCTCTTGACCACGCCCCTTTTCCCGCAATGACCACGCCCCCTTCGCTTTGTCCCCGCCCATCCCGCCTGGCCCCGCCTCGTTCCTGATTGGCCACGCCCCCTCGGCCTGGCCCCGCCCCGTTCCCGCCGTTCCCCGCCTCGTTCCCGATTGGCCACGCCCCCTCGGCCTGGCCCCGCCCCCTCGGCCTGGCCCCGCCCCGTTCCCGCCGTGCCCCGCGCTCCAAGATGGCGGCGCCGTGGCCGCTGCCGCTGCTGGCGCTGCTGGCGGCGGGGGCGGCGCTGGGCCGGGCCGGGGCGCTCTGCCGGGGGGGCTCCGGCACCGGCACCGGGCCCAGGGTGAGCCCGAGGGGCGGGGGACCGGGAACCGGCACGGGAGAGAACCGGGAACCGGGAACCGGGATGGGAGAGAGCGGGAGAACCGGGAACCGGGATGGGGGAGAGCGGGAGAACCGGGACGGGGGAGAACCGGGAACCGGGACGGGAGAGAACCGGAAACCGGGAACCGGGATGGGAGAGAGCCCCGGTACCGGGATGGGGGAGAACCGGGAACCGGGACGGGGGAGAGCGGGAGAACCGGGACGGGGGAGAACCGGGAACCGGCACGGGAGAGAACCGGGAACCGGGATGGGAGAGAACCGGGAACCGGGATGGGAGAGAACCGGGAACCGGGAACCGGGATGGGAGAGAACCGGGAACCGGGATGGGAGAGAGCAGGAGAGAACCGGGATGGGAGAGAGCGGGAGAGAACCGGGAACCGGGATGGGAGAGAACCGGGCACCGGGATGGGGGAGAGCGGGAGAACCCGGATGGGAGAGAGCGGGAGAACCGGGATGTGAGAGAGAGGGAGAACCGGGATGGGGGAGAGCGGGAGAACCGGGAACCGGGACGGGAGAGAGCGGGAGAGAACCGGGATGGGAGAGAGCGGGAGAACCGGGAACCGGGATGGGGCTCCCCGTACCGGGATAGGGGAGAGCCCCGGTACCGGGATGGGGCTCCCGGTACCGGGATGGGAGAGGCTCCGGTACCGGCATGGGGTTCCCGGTACCCCGTATCCGGTACCCGGTGTTCAGTTCTCGGTGTTCGGTTCTTGGTGTTCGGTTCTCGGTGTTCGGGAGGCCCCGTGCAGGATGGGGGCTCATTAATATTAATGAGGGGGCGTGGCTGTCTGACCATAGAGCCCAGGGACCCCGCGCACCGCCCTCATTAATATTAATTAGGGGGAGCGTAAATTGTCAGGAGCCCAAGGGGCGGGACCTTGTGACTGTCTCATTAATATTAATTAGGGGTGTACCAACCGATACCGTGTGCTGCCCTCATTAATATTAATTAGGGGTGTATAAACTAATAGAGGCAGTTGCTGCGAGGGGTAGGGCTGCGGGCTGCACTCATTAATATTAATTAGGGATGTACCAACCGATACCGTGTGCTGCCGTCATTAATATTAATTAAGGGTTTATAAACTGCCTGTAGGTATGAGGGGCGTGGCCTTTCGCTGCCCTCATTAATATTAATTAATGTGGTTGAAAGTAATGAGCCTGCTCCACCTCATTAATGCTAATGACGGGTGGGTCTGGCTCCCTCCAGGTGATTAATATTCATGAGGGAGTTGAGGCTGCAGAACCTCATTAGCATGAATGAGGGTGTGGGGCTGGTCATTAATATTCATGAGGCCGGCGGGGTGCCCCCACCCCTCTGGGGGTGGCCCCAGCCAGGTGTCACCTCCTGGTGTCCCTGTCCTGGTGCACCCCCGTGTCACCCCTGTGTCCCCCTGGTGTCACCTCCTGGTGTCCCTGTCCTGGTGCCACCCCTGTGTCACCCCTGTGTCCCCCT